GCTATTGAAAGTTTTAGTAATAAGAGGACTTTTCAGCAGAAACCTACAGGAAATGATGTCATATGGGGGAAGAACATTCCAGAGTATAAAACAAATTCAAAAACCCTGTTGTCACCTTAGGAATTGGAGGCAAAGAGGGAAAATGGGAGTGGAAGTGTGGGATTTGGAGAGAGAAAGTTTTTAAAAAACATTGAAAGGTAGTAAAAAAATTTTTTTTACCTGAGAAAATGAATTTATATGTATATCCTACATTTTGATCTTCCCTGGTGGCTTGGAAGGTAAAGAATCTGCCTGCAATGTGGGGGATCCGGGTTCTATCCCTTGGTCAGGAAAATCCCTGGAGAAGAAAATGCCTGTCCATTTCAGTATTCTTGCCTGGAGAATTCCATGGACAGAGAAGCCTGGAAAGCTGCAGTATGGGTCACAAAGAGTCTGATGTGACTGATTGAATAGCACTTTCACTTTCATTCCAAAAGTAATATTAATACAGCAAACAAATATCTACTATTAAAGAACATGTAAAAAACAGACCTTGTTATTTCTCATCTAAACAGATCTCTAACATGTAAACATGAATAGAATATTAGAAATTTCACCTGAATCATTATCTCTTTGATATAGTCATGATAACTGTTATAGTTTTACTAACATGTTTATAGAAGGAGTTGGCAAACTACAGCCTATGGGTCAAATCTGGTTCACCATCAGTTTTTGTATGGCCTGATAGCTAAGAATGGTTGTTACATTTTTTCTTTAATATTTATTTAATTTTTAAATTTATTTATTTGGCTGTGCCAGGCCTTAGTAGCAGCATGCAGGATCTCTGATCTTTGCTGCAGTATGCAAGATCTTTAGTTGCAGGATGCGGATCTAATTCCCTGACTAGATATGGAAACCAGGTCCCCTACACTGGGGTGTGGAGTCTTAGCCACTGGACCACCAGGGAAGTCTCGGTTTTTATAATTTTAAATGGTTGGGGGAAGTGGGTTTTTACAATTTTAAATGGTTGGGAATCCAGGGAAGAGTAATATTTCAGGACATGTGGAAATTGTATGAAATGTAAATTTCAGTGTCTTAAATATTAAAAGTTTTATTGAAACATAGCCATAGCATTCATTTACCTACTGTCTATCCCTGTTCTGAAGCTTCAGAGTTGAGTAGTTGTGACAGAGACTATGTACATGCTAGAGATAAAATATTTATTGTCCAGTCATTGTCAGAAAAAGTTTGTGGACCTCTGGCTTATGGCATCTTTCTTACTTTCATGTTATATGGATGTAGATACCTTGGATTTAGGCAGCTTTATTGAGATAGAATTATATATGACAAAATGCATCTATTTTAGATGTATAATTTAATGAGTTTTGATAAAGGTAGCAGTTATGTAACTACCACCAAAATAAATACAGGACATTTTCAGTACTCCAAATATTGCCTTATGGCCCTTTAAAGTCAAGGGCCACTGACTCCTGGCAACCACTGATCTACTTTACATTACCAGAATTTTGCTTATCTTACAATATTATATAAATAAAATCATAGAGCATATAGTCTTTTGTGCTTTTTAAACCCTGCATGATGCAATACTAGATGATGAATCATGAGTTCATTCCTTCTCATTGCTAAATACTATCCCATTGTATGGCTATGCCATAATTTGTTTATTCATTCATGTGTTGATGGAAACTTGAATTATTTTTGGTTTGGAGATCTTATTAATGAAGCTGAAAAGACTTCATGGATATATATTTTCATGTCTCTTGGGCAAATATGTATTATTAGAAATGGAACTGCTAGGTCTTATGATAATCACTTAGTTTTTAGAAAGTTGCCAATCTTTCTTCAATACAACTATATTATTTTGTATTCCCAGCAACAATAAGTGAGATTGCTCTATACTCTTATCAACTCAGTTGATATTATCACTCTTTTAAATTTAGTCATTCTGGTAGGTATATGATGATGAAGTGAAAAGTGAAAGTGAAAGTCACTCAGTCATGTCCAACTCTTTGTGACCCCATGGACTGTATAGTCCATGGAATTCTCCAGGCCAGAATACTGGAGTAGGTGGCCTTTCCCTTCTCCAGGGGATCTTCCCGACCCAGGAATTGAACCATGGTCTCCTACATTGCAGGTGGATTCTTTACCAACTGAGCTATCAGGGAAGCCCATATGATGATACATCATTTGGTTTTAAGTTGTATTTCCTTAATTGTTAATGGTTTGGGGAATCTTTTCATGTATTTGTTTACCATCTTTTTTTTTTAATGAAATATCTGTTCAAATCTGTTGCCACTATTTTATTTGGTAGTTTATGTTCTGTTTGTTAAGTTGAAATAAATTTTTTATATATTCTGAATACAAGTCTTTCAGCCATATATGTTTCTGCAAATATATTTTCTCAAAAGCTTATTTGCAAATACATTCATTTTACTAATTGTGTCTTTTAAAGAACAACATCTTTAGGGAAATAAAATTTGGTATTTTTTTCTTTTATGCTTCCTGCTTTTTGAGCCCTACTTTAAAAATTGTTGGGCTTCCTTGGTGGTTTAGACGGTAAAGCATCTACCTGCAATGCGGGAAATCCGGGTTCAATCCTGGGTTGGGAAGATCCCCTAGAGAAGGAGATGGCAACCCACTCCAGTATTCTCGCTTGGAAATTCTCATGGATGGAGAACCCTCATGGGCTACAGTCCACGGGGTCACAAAGAGTTGGACGTGACTGAGCAACTTCACTTTCACTTTAAAAGTTGTTTGCCTAATCCCAGATAACCAAGCCTTTTTCCTATGTTTATCTTCCAGAATTTTATAGCATTTTGTTTTACATATAGACCTATATAACATTTTGAGTTAATTTTTGTATACAAGGTTAGATGATGAATGAGATTCCATAATTTTGGAGGGGGACATCTTTTTGAGCCCTACTTTAAAAATTGTTGGGCTTCCTTGGTGGTTTAGACGGTAAAGCATCTACCTGCAATGCGGGAAACCCGGGTTCAATCCTGGGTTGGGAAGATCCCCTAGAGAAGGAGATGGCAACCCACTCCAGTATTCTCGCTTGGAAATTCTCATGGCTGGAGGACCCTCATGGGCTACAGTCCACGGGGTCACAAAGACTTGGACATGACTGAGCAACTTCACTTTCACTTTAAAAGTTGTTTGCCTAATCCCAGATAACCAAGCCTTTTTCCTATGTTTTTCTTCCAGAATTTTATAGTGTTTTGTTTTACATATAGACCTATATAACATTTTGAGTTAATTTTTGTATACAAGGTTAGATGATGAATGAGATTCCATAATTTTGGAGGGGGACATATGGATAGCCAATTGTTCTTGCATCATTTGTTGAAAAGTTTGCCATTTCCCCTTAAATTTTCTTGACATCTCTGTAAAAGAATAATCAATTAGCCATATAGATTTGGGTACTTTTCTACATACTTTACCTTCAATTTGTTTATCTATATTTATGTTCAAAGCATTGGACATGACTGAGCAACTAAGCTCACATGTTAATTCAACACTGTCTTTATTACTATAGCTTCAAATATGTGTGAATCAGGTAGTGTAAGTATTTTAGTATAAGAACTTGGTTCTTTTTTTGTAAAGTTGTTTTGGCCACTGTGAGTCACTTGCATTTCCACATAAATTTTAGAAATTGGCTTGTGAATTTCTATTTTAAAAGCCTGTTGGGCTTTTGATTAGGATGCGTTGAATCTATAGACTAACTTGGAAAAATTTGACATCTTTATGAATTTTAATCTTCTATTAATGTGGCATATTTCCCCTTTAATTTTTAGGTTATAGATATTGCGTGTGTTTTGTTAAGTCCATCCCTACAAATTCATATTTTTGATGCTGCTTTAAATAGTACTGGTTTTAAATTGCAATGTATTAAACTGAAATGTATTTAAATTGCAATTCATTGCTAGTGTCAAAGAAATACAACTGAAATCTGTATATTGATTTTTTATCAAGCAGCCTTACTATAAACTTATAGTTCTAATAGGGTTTTTTAAAATAGATTTCTTAGAATTCTCAATATAGAAGATTATATTGTATGCAAATAAAAATAGCTTTTTTCCCCTCTTTCCAATCTCTATGTCTTTTACTTGTAGTTCTTTCATGATGGCCCTGGCTAGGACCTACATAGTACAATGATGAATAGAAATGGTGAGAGCAGACATTTTCACCTGTTCTCAGTTCCAAAAATGAGCAAGAATGGCTTAATGTAGAAGAGCACAAAAAGCTTAGAAGCAAAAATAATATCATTTGGTTTTAGTCTGTGTATCCTCCTGGTTCTACTTTCCTATATATTAGCATCACCATCAGTCTAATTTTCTTCACATAAAGTTCCCCAGGTCTTGCAGGCACATATCTTGCAGTTTCAGCCTAGTGCGGTGGTTCTCAACTGTGGACAATTTTCCTCCCCTCTCCATCCAGGGACATTTGGCAGTATCAGGAGACATTCTGGGTTATCACAACTGGAGATGGGGGAGTTGCTATTAGCAACTAGTGAGTTCAGGCCAGGGATGCTGTTAAACATCTGACAATGAATAGAACAGCCCCCCAGGCTTCCCAAGTGGCACAGTGGAAAAGAATCCACCTGCCAATGCAGCAGACACAGTAGATGTGGGTTTTCAATCCCTGGGTCAGGAAGATGCCCTGGAATAGGAAATGGCAATCCACTCCAGTGTTCTTGCCTGAAGAATTCCATGGACAGAGAAGCCTGATGGGCTACAGACCGTGGGGTAGCGAAGAGTCAGACACAGCTGGGCACACACGCCACAATAAAGAGTTCTCTGGACTAATATTTCAGTAGAGTCATGGCTGAGAAATGGTGTAGTAGGAATTCTTCTCCTATCCAGCAATGGTAATTCAACTCCAGCACTGACTCTCATTGGACCAACTTGTGTCACATGCTCACCTCTGAACCAATCACCAGGGTTGAAGCGTTAAACACACCAACTGACTAGGTCTGAGCTGTGTGTTAACTTCTAGGGCTGGGGCTAAGATGTCACACCTACCCAGGCCACATGAACTATGAACACGGCAGGGGATAGCTTACCAAATTTAAATGAATGTCTGACATCAGAGGAAGGGTAAAAGATGGTATGAAGCCAAAAAAAGCAGATGTTCAAGAGATTACCCTGGGAGACTGGTAAGAATCAGAATCAAGTGGATAGAGGACAATATCCTAACGGGGACTTGGAGGACAGTGGAGGCAGGCCAAGCCTCTAACCCACACCCAAAACGTTGACCTGGGACTCTCAGCTACTCACAGGTCCATTGGAACAAGTTCCATCCCAACCTCATAGGCATAAACTGAAACGAGTAGGAAATGAGGGTAACTGACTCTGCAAATTAGGTCTGAAACTGGGATGGATTGAGGTGGCCTGTGGAGGGCTTCAGTGACTACAGATATAAAGAGACAGGGAGAGAAAAGTGGGTACTGCAGAAATCGCAAAGGCACTGAGCATTTCTTGCTCATATTCTAGTGGACTGGTTGTTTTCACTAATGAATCAGATATAACAGTTCTTGTTTGGCTATCTTCAAAAGTTGGTGATATTGTGATATGTAATGATTATATTTCAAAATTCTTTTCTCTTTCCCCCTCTCTGGAAAGAAAACAGGCAGTGCTTCCCTTCCCAACAGATTCAATGTAAGCAAGATACTAAAATGATCACTTTGTGGAAGGCTATACTTCTCTCTCATTCAGTATTTTCCAACAGAAGGTATTCTTTGAGGGAAAGCCTCTAATTAAAGGCCCATAAGGTAATAATATTACCTCCATTCAATGTTTTTCATGTAAAAAGTAAATAAACCAGAAAACTATAAAGAAGTGTTACTATTAAAAAGGGGGGGGGGAAGGTAGTGAAATTCCTGGGTGCAGGAGTAGGAAGTGTTTTTTTTCTTTTTATCATCATTAAGGATTAGAGAACTATAATTTTGAGATCCATCTGGATGGAAAATATTGCAGAAATGTGAGATTAACACCAATTCATAATGAATATTTCTGACTGAAAAGGCATCAAAGGACAAACATATATGTGTAGTGAAGGTTTTGATCTTAATACTATTAAAATGGGCTTTTATCACTATTCATTTTCTTTCTGGTTTCCAAGGGAATTGAGTTTTTGACTAAGGGGAAAGCTTGGAATCAATTTATAGGGTGCATGCGAGGACACAGCAAGGTGGGGACTGCCCAAGATTATTATTGCACAAAAGAAACCTTAAAAGCAATTTTCCACTTCCTTTTCTCTGCAATAGAAAATCAGAGGTTCTGGGACATTTGAAGAGTTAAAATAGAGTAAGTGGATTAGTATAGTTCTCTGTTGATTTGTGCAGGTTTATATAAAAAAGTTTTTGAAAAGTATTCATTAGCAAACTCAGAAAACTCGAAGCATCACTGAGCACAACTTTAAGTTCTACTGGGTTTTGTCTGTCCACATTTTAATTTCTGCAATTCCCAAGAAGTGAATTCTTAATTTTCAGTCTCCATCTACCCCTCTCACCAGCCAAGTTCTTAAAACAAGAGTCAGGAATGCATTATTAACAGAAGGGGGTTTAGGAAACAAAATCAGATTGTTGTTCTTTTTTAGTTCCTTGGTTTTTCTTAGGAAATGTTTGCTCTTTTCCTTGACCTCTCCCTCCCCATCCCTCACCACCAGAGATATTTTGGTTTTCTTGTTCTTTAAAAATTGAAAATTCATGTTGAAAACCAGAAACAGGAAACCCTCTAGTTCTTTGGTAGAGAAGCGGGTAGAACACGAGCAGGACCCTAGTGTTCATAGCCCTTGGTAGTGGGAGACAGTAGCTTGACTCCCAAAGTACACGCAGGGGACATTGTCATTTCTGTCCACTGTCTTCACGTCACAGTGGGTTCAAGGTGAGTGAGCCTAGAGAAGAGAGGGATGCTACTGGTTTAGCTCCCTATTGGTGTCTTTGAAAAAAGAGGTTTCTTGTAGCAAGGTACAAAAACCCACTCCCGATTGAGCAAAGGGGCAATTTATTGGTGCCACTGCATTGGGTCTCAGAAACAAATGCATTCATAGAGTGCAACCCTGTTGAGACTCTTCTATCTCATCTCAGCTGCTCAGATGAGTGACTTATTTTCTCAGGTCATGTTTCTCCCAGACTGGCATGTTGGCTGCCCAAACTCCAGGGCCCTTGTCTTTTTTGTCACCAGAAAGGAAGCACTGTCTTCCTTTAAATCTCAGTGAAATCCTCTACTCTCCCCAATTTTTGTCTCATGCTCTTGTTCTATAGCCAGGGGAGCAGAATCCATGATGGGCAATGCACAGGAGGACCCCCAACACTGAAGGGGAGGAAGAACTTCTTCCCCAAACCCTTTTCTCAAAGAAAAGATGTTCTGAGTCTGAGCAGACAATTAACATACTACATTTTACAGATGGTGAGGCGCTGTCTCTCCCCACATTTTAACATTTCTGAAATCATGATCAGTGTCATGTCATATTTAATTGGCAGCATTTCTTCTTTTTTAACATTACCTAAAGTAGTGGTTCATCTTATAATGGATGACATCTTAGAGTCAATGAAATATGGGCTGGCTGAAGGCATGTGAAGGTCAAAAGGAGAGTAATAATAATAGCAGACAAAAGCAATGGCAGGCGTGACTGCCTGGATCAGGGAGAAAATGCCAGGGATCCAAACCTCAATGCTTAGGGAGGGATACGGAGCTTAACGCCGGGAACACTGTCACGTTTTTGTAGCCGATGAACCTCAGCTTCTGGCACTGACTCAGATGAGTTGCCTGAGGGAAACTGTTCAACTCAAGAGCCTTTGTTTCCAGTTTAGGAGCTGACAGTTCAGAAGCCTATCTGCTCCTCTGGAAGGCTGTAAGAGTTCAAGAGTTGACAACTTTCTGTGTGTGGGCCTCTTACCTACCCTTCTGTCTTATTCAGGACAGTTGCTGGGGCGATAGAGATTTTTTCAATCCCCGCGGGTGTCCAAGAAACCCCTTTCAGGAGCTAAGTATTCCACACGTCCAGGATCTATACAGGATGTATACCGGTCCTACATAAGTCACACTGGTAACACTTTATCTTCTTTCATCAGTTCTAATTGCCCAGAAAACAGCAAAGGAGCACTGTGGAAGCAAAACCCAAACGACTTTGCAGAGTGCCCGCTGTGCCCTCCAAGTCTGTTTTCAAGATTTATTTCTACACAGAATTAACTAGAAGCTGGGGGACTAGGAGGAGGAGGGGAAGCGCATGCTAATAGCTGCATCGTGTTGCAACAAATTAAGCTCAGTTTCCACAATGACAAAATACACTGGGTGCATATTAACCAGGCAGTTTATTGCAGTAACTATTCTGAGGGATGCTTTTGTTTCTGTTTCTTAAAGTGTTTCCAGATCCAATGTCTTTGCAGCATTTTTTGGACAAATTCGAGTTTGGCTGAGACAAGCGGACTGAGCACATTCTCATTAATGCAAAAAGTTCTATTGTTCTCATGTCCTGGGGAAAACAAAAGGTACAACTGAGATTGGGGGTTGTTTTGGGGGATTTGGGGTACATATGCTCCCAAAACACACTATGGGGCATTAGGTTAGCTTGCTGAGAGAGAATATAAAACCGGATTAACAGCAACTGAGTGGCTATTCTGGAATGCCACCCCCAGTCTCCTGCCAGCCCAGTGCCATGAGTTCCAAGGGGAGTGGGTATCCCCACACTGGCCTTCCCCCTCTTGGAGGGGATATGGGGACAAATGGCAGCAATGCATACGGCACATCTCTCTTGTAGACACATCATCCTTCATACCAGGAGGACTGTGGGCAACCGGACTGGAAAGCTGCTCTTGTCAGAGCCTGGCAGTCCAGGGCTTGATTCAACCCAGTGATTGACATGCCCTGACCGCCAGCGTTGCAGTGACATATCCATTCAGTGATGCACGACTCTTCTAAAGGACAAGAGATTCTGGTCTCTCTATTCATCCGTAAGCCCACTCCCCCATTTCCTGGCATCCCAGGCATCATGGTCTGTATGGACATTGATTCATTTTTTTCCTTGCTTATTCAACAAGTGTTTTTTGAGTGTGCCTAGCATGTGCTTGGGCTTCCCACGTGGTGCTAGTGGTAAAGAACCTGGCTGCCAATGCAGGAGATGTAAGAGATGTGGGTTCAATCCCTGGGTCAAGAAGCTCCACTGGACGGGGGCACAGCAGCCCACTCCAGTATTCTTACCTGGAAAATCTCATGGGCAGAGGAGCCTAGCAGGCTATAGTCTATGGGCCCACAAAGAGTTGGACACGACTGAAGTGACCTAACACACACATAGCCTGTGCTCAGCCCTGCTTGAAGCCCTGGCGTTATAGCAAGTAAAGAACGCAAATTGAAAACAAGGCAAAAATCAACTCCCTGTCTCGATGAAGCTTATATTCTAGTGGCTATCAGGGGCTTGGTGGTGCCAGCCCTTTGACGTTCCTTTGAGGAGCCATTCGCAAGCTCTGTGATGGAGATGAGGCTGATGAATCCTTGACTGGAGAGGCAGGTGTAAACTCCAGGCCCCTGGGACATGCAACCCCTTGAGACTTGCCATTTCAGCTGGTGGGGCAGGGAGTGATGAGCTGGAGAGATAGAAGTCTAGATCTGTAACTGGCCGCCTCTGCCACCATATAGGGACAGGCTGCTTGGGACTGAGGCGGACTCAGAGCAGTACCGAGCTGAGAAATGGAGAGAGGCTGAGAGAACTCCTGGAATGATTTCCATGCCCAGCACCCAGTGATTTCCATTTCTACTAGGCCAGTTGAGTTGGGTTTCTATTATTTGCAACCAGAAGGTACCTGAAAAGTAGCATCTCAGTGCCAGTGAAGTTGTAAAGTAAGAGTTGGTTTTCTGTGGCTTCTCTCTCAGATATTCTTGCACACCTTTCCCCAGAGAAACCCAGCACAGTCATGCCAGGGCAGTCTTGGGATATTCCCAGAGCGTATTCTATTCCTCTAACCCACCGGACCAAGGTGTACGTTTTCCGTACTCTCTGGCACTCAGGTCCCTTCTCCTTCCGTGGAGAGATATCAGAATGCAAGAGGAGCTGCTCAGTGTCAGGGACCAGGAGCTGATTTTTGAACCCTATCTCTGCACCATCCCAGCTGAGTGGCCTTGGGCAAGTCCTATCCCCCAGGTTCATTTTCAGCATCAGTGAAATAGGAATTGGAACCCCGTCCTCACAGCATCGCACATAGGAGGAGCATCACACACAAATGGATCTCCTCTCTCCACTCTGTCATTTCTCTCTTATTAAAACACTGACCACACTGGATGTCTTATGACAAATCGATCTGGCGACTTAGAGACATGAGTGAAAAGAAACTTGGTGGCGGAGAGGGCAGGGGTCCCCAAGCAAGGGAAGACTGGTTACTGATCTTTACAAGGGATTTATATTTGGCCCAGGGTGCTGCTGACCTTCTGGGCTGGCTTTTAACCCCCAGCCCTGAAAGTTAATGCATGAAAAGTCTATAGTGACAGCAAAGTGAAGCTTGTTTCTTTCCGGGGATATTTAGATTTGAAACTGGAACAGTTTCTTGTTGTAAACAGACGATTCTTAATTACATGCATTAAACTGGGGCTGAAGGGAGACAGTCTGCACATATTGAGGGTTGGATATACCACAAGGGCATCCATTTACTCTCTCTGTGGATGAAGCCAGGTCTGATGGGTGAACCCCCAGCACTTCAGGCTCTGAATTGATCTCTCTCACCTCTCTTCTCTGAAATAAGTGTGTGTGGTGTGTCCTGAAGTGTCTGAACCTCCTTCCCCACAGCAGTCATCCTGCCAGCAGCAAGCCCCCTCCCTGCGACAGAGGTTCCGCCGCTCTCCGCTCTCTTGCTGCCTGGATGTGGTAATGACCTAGGTTCTGTCCATTAGACGCAGCGTCTGGTGTTCTCTGACACAAAAGTCAGAGAGTGTGAAGGATTCTTCATGGGGTAGAGCAGGTGGCAATTGTTCCAGGGATGCAGAAAGGGCTGCCCAGCAGCCCGTACCCACAGGGTTAAGGATCTGAGGGATGACAACAGATGTTCTCTGCCTGGTGCTCCAACTCCCCAGGGACCCTGTGAATTAGTGTTCTCATTTCAGGAAGTTAATTTCTATATAAATTAGTCAGAGTAATTTGCTATTGCCTGGAAAATCAGAATCATAAGTGATACCCACCTGTCCACAAAAGGCATCTATTCTGACTTCTCATATTGTCTTAACCTCACCTCTTGTTTCTCCATTTGTACCTGCCACTTCCAAATTTACCCAGGATCATTTCTTTCCTGAATGTCAACTCTTCCATGTCACATAATCGTCAATGGTGCCTCCAGTGTCCTGGTCCCTCAATAGTAGTTAGTGACTATGAATCTAAACCTCAACTCCTTTTTCGTTTGCATCCTGCACCGATCCTGTCCTTCAGCACATCTGCTTAGGCACACATATGCGTGGCATGCCTACTACAGCGGGGCAGCAGGAGCACTGTGCTGTCCAGTCCTCAAAGGGTTGGCCTCCCATGGGGGAATTCTCCCTCTTTAATAGTTCCCCCATCCATCACAGATTCTTCCTCTCTGGACGTGTATCCATCTTGTCCCTGAATTATTAGCAGCGCACTCCTCACCTTGGGCTGTTTTCTTCACCCATCTTGTTGATGTGCTGTCCACCCTCTGATGTTTTGAATCCCATCACGTCTCTTGTCAGACACCCACGGTGGTTCATTACAGTGTTGCAAATATAATCAGAGCGTTAGATGATGAGGTCTCATAGGCCCCTGGCAAGCAAGCACCTCTCACCCCTGCTGCCTCTTAGTAAGCACTCCACCCGGCTTACATGCTCTGCCTCCAACCCCAGGTCCCCCTAAAATGTAATAGGCCATTCCCCACCAGGAGGGCTTCCCCTACCTTGTCAGACATCAGAATACTCCTGGGAGGTATATTCACATGAGTGCCCTTGGGCTCCAGATGCTCTGGAAAGTCCAGCATTCCCTGGGCACATGTACTATTTCCCTATACAGTTTTTGTTGACTGTGTGCTTGACTCAGTTGGGCTCTTTTGCTTTATATTTTGGTGTGTATGTATGTGTGATTTAGAATCTTCAAGACTATACATTTCTCAAAGACATGGACAGTGTCCCATTTCTAACTCTCCTTGCCTGTAGTTAGAATAATAATAATGATATAAATTTTTTTTTTGCTTAATTGTTTACAAAGTGCTGTCACAAATATTAAAAATGTCTCCCAGTGACATTGTGAGGTGGGAATAGAAGTATCGCAGTTAAGACATTAGGCTCTGGATCAGGTAGACTGAATCCTGACTCTGTAACTTGATAGGGACTGGTGTCTCAGTTTATTAATCTCTGAACAGGGGAAGACAGTGGTTCTGAGTTCACATGGTTGTTGTAAGAATGTTGTAAGTGAGTCCAGGTGTGAAAAGTGCCTGGCATGTAGAACAGGCCCAATTAAGAGTACTGTTGACTCTTGAACAACACAGGTTTGAGCTGTGCCGGTCCACTTATAGGTAGATTTTTTCAATAAATATGTGCAGTACTACATGAATCACATTGGGTGAATCCTCTTTGGATGTGGGATTGCAGCTGTGGAGCGCCGACTTGGGACTTGAGCAGCTGAGAATTTGGGTGTATGCAGGGGGCACCTGCAAATATAATCAGAGCGTTAGATGATGAGGGGGACCAGCCCCCCAAGATAAGGATGATTGTCTTGTTATTATTGCTATTGTTTGATGCAGTAACCATCTTCATGTTACAAAGCGGGGAAAGGTGAAGTCATTTGCTTATGGATTTGAGAAAACTAAAAGGCAGAACAGGATATAGAACAGGCTCTAAGTTGCCGCAGCTATGCCATACACAACATACCACAGGGCCCCTGCTGATTCAAAGCATCTCACTCTACTCCCTGGGAGAACAGGATGGACATTGCCAACGTGTATGCAAGAATCCAAAATACCAAAAGCACTGGGGTCTTAAAAAGCAACTATGTAAAGGCGCCAGTGTGAAATTCTCTGAGAAGATTTGCCCTCTGCCCTATTCACATATACCTTTGAAAAGTTAAAGCGTCCCCTCCTGAGAGATCCGGAGCTACTGAGGACATACCTCAGGTTCTGGCTTGCCAACCGCTTCAGAGAACTGAAGGGGAGCCACCGGCCTCAAGACTTATAGGTACTAAGTTAGGGGCTTCAAAAATTCCATTTTTCCTCACTGGGGAGGGGAAGGAGGGCAAAGTCTCCAGAACAACGTTTCTCAGGGAGTCCATCCCCGGGGTCAATCAATGTGTCACTTTTCTGTTGCCACAATATAGAGTAAGGAATGAAATGCCCAATTGGCAAAGAAAAACAGTCACATTTTGGAATGAAAAAGACTGTCCACCAGGACATTCTAGTGGAGGGATCAATGTGGGACTGTGGAGAGGGCTTCAGGCTTATTTCATGATGTGCCACGTGACCCTGGACAATCCACCCAGCCTTGGGCGCTCAGGTTCCTTATCTATGTGATGGGGATAACACCCCCACCACAGGATTACTGTGGGCATTAAAGAGATAATGGCCTCAGAGCACTGGGCACTGGGTCTGGTTTACAACAGCGTTCAAGATGGATTTTTAAAATTCTAGGTTCTACTCAAGGTCAGTCTTGGCTCAGTCCATCCAGTGGTTTCCACAGAGTCCAGCAAACCTGGGTGGGATTGTGTCTGGGAGGGAGTAGATTGTCTGCTCAGCTGCTGATGGTGCCACGTGACTTCAGGTGCTTCCCTGTCTGAGTAGCTTCTCAGTACCCACACCCTGAAGAGGGTGAAGAAGTGAAGTGAAGTGAAGTCGCTCAGTTGTGTCTGACTCTTGGCGACCCCATGGACTGTAGCCTACAAGGCTCCTCTGTCCATGGAATTTTCCAGGCAAGAATACTGGAGTTGGTTGCCATTTCTTTCTCCAGGGGATCTTCCAGACCTAGGGGTTGAACCCGGGTCTCCAGCATTGCAGACAGATGCTTTACCGTCTGAGCCACCAAGGGAGATTTAGAATCTGATGTAATCTTTATACCCTAAGGCACACAAACCTCAAGTGCACAGCTCAGTGAGGTTTCAGCATGGGTATGGCTGTGCTGTGATGACCAGATCAAGTGAAAGAATATTTCTATTTTCCTTGAAGTTTCCCCCTGCCCGCTGCAGACTGTACACTTCCACTCCCGGTCATAACATCTCTTCTCGCTTGCATCCCCTCAGAGTTGGTTTGCTTTTTCTCTTAGAACTTGTCTTTAAAAGAGAAATAGAGGGAGGGGGGACCGGGATGGGGAATACATGTAAATCCATGGCTAATTCATTTCAATGTATGACAAAAACCACTGCAATGTTGTAAAGTAATTAGCCTCCAATTAATAAAAATAAATGGGAAAAAAAAATAAAAGAGAAATAGAAAAACCCCTTCCTGCTTTTAAGTCACCTGCCACCATCCTCAAGAACAATTCTGTTTTAGACTAAGGTTCTTCTGAGATTGGAGAAGTGGAAAGAAAAAAAACCAGACTGGTGAGGAAGATAAAGTCAAGAGAGGCCAGGCCTTGGGATAGTCTTTGTCCTGTAAAGTGAGGACAAATTCTGGGAAAACAATTGATGTAACAGAAGAGGTGTTTACAGACTGAAAGGTTAATCAGTGCCTCCGAGGAGCCCCGAATACTCAGGCTCTGTTGTTGACAGCAAGTGTGCATGCTCAGTCAGTCATGTCTGACTCCTTGTGACCCCGTGGACTGTATCCCCACCCCCCACCCCTCCCCCGGCTCCTCTGTCCATGGAATTTTTCAGGCAAGAATACTGGAGTGAGTTGCCATTTTCTTCTCCAGGGGATCTTCCCAACCGAGGAATTGACCCAGGTCTCCTGATTCTTTACCCGCAGCACCTGGGAACCCCCGTTCACTGCACAAAGACACCCAAAGGCCCAGGCAAAGGCCATCCAAAGTGACATCAGAGGATGGACTGAAGGAAGCCTTCCAGGTAGAAGGTCAGCTTTGCCAGTTACCTGCAGAGATGAGCACTTGTTGTCATCAGGCTTGAAAACAAGCCTCAGGGGTGGCACGTGACCTCCTGGGAGGAGGAGGTGCCCAAACCCCACCCAGAACGAGGGGAAAGAAGAGGGAGGGGCAGACAACTCCGATTCCAGAAGGTGTGCCTGTAGCTGTTCAAACAGCTCTGCAATCCTTGAGCCTCTGGATAATCTTTCCCTTAGTTTATGAGACTGTGAGGGGATTATATTAACTATTCCTGATTCCCCTGTTGACACTTGGATTAGCTATGCTGGTGGAAGGGCAGGGCAGCCTTTTAGCCTAGATGGCAGAGGGAGAATGCAATCAGGGACCACATAGTGCAGTGTTAGGGTCAAGCCAGCCAGGTCAGGAAGGCGTTGTGAGAGTCTATCAGAAAGCAGGGCTCCCTTCTGTGTTTTTCTTCCGAAGCTCAACTGCCATTGAGACGGAGCTGGATATAGTCCATCCATGGGATTTCCCTGGGCCAACTTGTAGGGCGCTGGACAGGGATGTGGGCTTCCCCGGTGGTTCAGATGGTAAAGGATGTAAGGTTCTGGCATCTAACCCGGTAGCCGAACACAATTAGAAGCAATCTATAAAATGGAGTCACCCTTAATACAGGTAAAGATGTCAGGCTGTGGGTTGACTGATATCCTTTCCTGCCTTTACCTCCTTTCCACTGACTACACTTCTCAAAGCTGCAGAGAATATTGCAGCATGCTTCCAACATTCTTTCCTGGCTGCAATCTTTAATAAAACAAATTTTAAGCACATCCCAATTATGTATGAAAGTGTGAAAGTGTTAAGTCACTCAGTCGTGTCTGACACTTTGAGACCCCATGGACTGTAGCCCACCAGGCTCCTTTATCCATGCAATTTTCCAGGCAGGAATACTGGAGTGGGTTGCTATTCCCTGCTCCGGGGAATCTTCCTGACACAGGGATGGAACCCAGGTCTCCTGTATTGCAGGCATATTCTTTACGGCCTGAGTCACCAGGGAAACCCCCAATTACGCATATCTGTTTTTAAATTATATATATGGACTACCCTGCCAGTGTATTCTGTGTAGTAAAACAAAAACAAAAGGAACATTTGAAAAAAAGAAGAGAGGAATAATATTCTTACAGATTTTAATTTTAGTTTTTAACAGTGCAAAAATATTTTGCTTTTATCGAACAGAATTAATACATTTTAGCAAGAGCAGCAGTTTAGTAAATCTTTGTTTAATCCATTATGATGAAACAGTTTGACCTGGTTCTAAGCTAAGGCAGATGAGTTCAAACCTTGGTTTGCAAGACTGTGAGAACTGAAAAAGTTTCCTTATCAGGGGACACAGTGGCTAAAAGAAGAAATGCACTCCTGGCTGGAATTAACAAATGATAGGTGTTTTTTGTTTGTTTGCTTAGTCTTATTTGTAAATTACACAAATTTTGTTGAAATTTGGCTAGGAATTTTGTATTCCTTGATGTTTATCAATTGTTCTTACAAAATAGCCTTGCATTGTTCTCATATTTTTAGGATTTTTAACAAATGGCTCAAAAACCACTGAAACTCTTTGTTTGGGAGATCTTTTAACAGGTTAAAAATTATATTGCCAATTTTTTAAAGGGTGTTGACACATGGCATATTTACACTGTTTGTACCAAGAGAGGAGACATTCAAATCGTTTCCAAAATGTTCTTCTCATATATAAGTTTCTTTAGAAAGACTTTCCTACTTGTTAAAATGTTACCTTTACCTTGAGGGGACAGATGAAGTGTGTTTATTTTTTCAAAAATATCTGCTTGGTACTATTTGTCATCAGACTACAGGTCTGAAATATGAAACACTTCATCCTTATAGAAGAAAAATAGGGAACTCATCTTTAAGTTTGACAAGTCTATTCAGAACTTTTCCAAAGGACAACTTGTGAAACTCAGGGTGTTTCAAAAATAGTTTCATCCATCTCAATAGAAGAGACTGCTGATTCTACTGTCTAGAATAACACAGTAACCAGGCATGCGTGAACAGCAGTAGCTCTCTATAACTGAAGAGGGTGGAAGAGAGGGGACACCACGGCCAACCCTCTGCCTTGGAGACCCGCTCTCCGCCTGCAGGGTGTCTCCCATGTTATGCGTGACAAGTAAGTATTTGACTTAGGGTGCCAATGACAACCCACATTATACATTTTCTGTTTTTCTTCTAGATTAAAAATAAACATACAGATAGAGAAGCTTGAGTTGTCCCTGTGGCTCCCATTCCACTGTGGAAACTTGTGTTGCTCTTGAGTTAGACTGATTTTGCATTGACCTACTTTGAAAACTAAACAACAACTTCATAACTCTAGTTGTGAGACTTGAGGTGCTTTATGTAGCCTTGCTGAGCACAGCTTTTCTCTTCTTCAGACTTGAGATAATGGCAGCACTGACCTCACTGTCTTGTTAAGAGGGTCACATGACATGTTGCATGAAATCACTATGCATGGTGCCTGGTGTGATGGAACCGGCTATACCAATACTTACACATCAGGTTCCACAGACCAACAAGCATGTATTAAACAACTCTTGCTCAAAAACCATCCATCTGAGACAGTCTATTCAGTTCAGTTCAGTCGCTCAGTCGTGTCCGACTCTTTGCGACCTCATGGACTGCAGCGCGCCAGGCCTCCCTGTCCATCACCAACTCCCAGAGTTTACTGAAACTCATGTCCATTGAGTTGGTGATGCCATCCAACCATCGCATCCTCTGTCGTCCCCCAATCCATTTCCACCTCTATTTCAGATCTGACTTTGAGAATGGTAGATACACTTCACTGGGGCTCAGATGTTGGACCCAACTCATTGATGGTGGCTTCTTAGAGCACTGAACCGAAATGGACTGTGACATTGAATATAAGTTCAAAGAGAGGAAGAGTGGTGAGTGATCAGTTATGAATGTCTGCCTTGGGCGTAGGGGGTGGGAGTGGTAGCAAGCCTCCCAGACACTGCCTCCCAGACACTGCTGATCCTTATCTCATTTCTGTGTATCTTCAGGACCTGGGGAGTGCCTTGACCATCCTTACATCACCAGTCCTTATCACAGTTTCTACAAGAGACTGGGGGTCCCGATGTGGTATGTTGAATAAAGGGAATACATAAACAAATGGCTCTGTCTTGTCATTACCATCACCTCCATTAGCTTGAAGAAAAGTATTGTTTTCTAAAAAATGTCTGATCATAGAGTGCTGCATAGAGGGCTTCAGAGAGGGACCAGCAGGTCTGAGCAGGTACCTCACATTGAAGAAAGGAACGTTGAAGGAGGGCTGTGGAGAAAGACGAGACTGCAGGGCAGAGGAGGAGGAGATCGGGAAGGCCAGTGGTAGGATCTGTGGCCCACAAACCAAAGTCTGGCAAACTACGAGTCACAGCTAACCAAAGTGACTCTACTTAGCTCTCCGAATTATATAAAGGAGTATTTTATGTGCTTTTAAACCAGTATTAAAAAAAAAAATGTTGGGTAGCACAGAGGCAAAAGTATTTCTGTGACTGTAAAAGTCAAGAATTTTAAGGGTAGCTTTCAGTGTTCATTTTTGCCACCTATGAATGTGTGATTCTGTGCTGGATGAAAACAGCTAGTTCGTAAGAAAAAAATCACCTCATTTACTGTCTGTGTGGCCAGAGAGACAATTATGAAATTTAGGCATTTGTAGAAATATAGATAGAAAAGGTCTTGAAGATCAGATCAAGGAGTCAGAACTTTCAATTTTGAAGATTAGAAATTACTTCTCTTTGACTTTTAGACACAATTTTCATTTTTCTAGTCTATCCCATCATCCCACCACCAATGTGCCATGTAGGCAAAGTTGTCTTTTTCAAACTGAAGTGAACTAACATTCACTGAGTTTTAGAAATTGAAACATTGCTCATGCTCTCTTGAGCTGAGCCACATTCCTTGGGAGTTTTAAAACTTGAACTAGGAATGCATACATATAAAACAAGTATGCTTTGCTACATATACATGATAATTAATATATAATTACAATTTAATGCCTGCCATTAACTGCAGAGTAATGTTCCTCACTCTCTGTAAACAGGCAACAGAAAACACCCACTCAAGTTGTTAAGCATGCCTTTGATTCCCTGACGCTCTTATGCCAGACGCAGTAAATTAAATCCTTTAGGGTTCTCCTCTAGAGAAGAGAGATTTTCTTGCCAGCTATTCTGTAATGAAAATTTGCCAATCCTTGACTGATGTTGGATATGAAGTTGCACATTAGCTGTGTATTAAACAGCACCTGCTGTGTGTACAGAATGCAGTCAGCAGTACAAAGGAAACCTCGGTGGGCACTTGAGAGAGCCCAGGGANCAACTCAATAGACATGAGTTTGAGTAAACTCTGGGAGTTGGTGATAGACAGGGAGGCCGGGCGTGTTGCAGTCCATGGGGGTCGCAAAGAGTCGGACACGACTGAGCAACTGAACTGAACTATTGGGTTCTCGACCCAGAATTAGGCAAATCAGCCTACCTAGTCATAGACCAGCCTGGAGGACCACAGATGCAGCCTCTAAAGCTTACAGACATGGGGGGCAGAGAGGCATGTGGACCCCTGTAAAAGAGACGGGAGCTGGGCTCCAGCATCCCCTTCCAGACTGACCAATCAAATGAAGTCACTTCTTGAACCTCTTTTCTAGTGTAGCCCCTGATGACTGTGAAATTGTGACAAGGGACATTGCCCAGATCCAGATTCAAGAGAAGGACAGCAGAAGGTCATCAAAATACTAAATATAATCAGAACATGCAGGAAATACAACATCCATTTGAATATAGGCTTAAAGAAGGCAGGGTTTTTCCCTACATATTCTTTTCCTGCAGCAGTTTGTTCACTGCTATATTGCCAATGCTTAGGAAAATTACCTTCTACAAATAAGGTGTTCATTGAATGAATTAATAGGAGTAAGTGAGTAGGCAGAGAGGCAAAACTAGTGTAACATACCTTGAGCTCCTTCTTCATGGAAATAAATATTGTTTATCTGCCACATGCCTATGAGATATAATAATAATGATGATGATGGTGATGATCATGATAGCCATCTTAGGAAAGTTGGTTTTGATTTGACAACTCTGCCATTACATGATATCATAGTGTTATTTGTGGGTAAGGATAAAGAATGTCATTCTCAGTGCTAATATTTATTGGACATGTATATTAGGTGCTGGCACTTTTCTAAGCTCTTTACAAGTATTAACCCTTCTAAACTTTGTAGCAATCCTTTGATGTGGGTACCATTATTGGCCTACGTTATGTATGTGCCGAAGATCAGAGTCAAGCGTAGAAAATTCAAATGTAGGCATTTGAATTCCTAAGCTCATGCTATAAATCATAATGCTTGCATTTTACAGTTGGCCCTTGAATGATGCAGGTCAGAACTACATGGGTTCACTTAATGTGGATTTTTTTCAATAAATACATGCTCCAGTGCTACATGATCCATGTTGGTTAAATCTGCAGGTATAGAGGAACCACGGATATGGAAGGGTGACTATAAAGTTATACAGGGATTTTCAACTGGGGGTGTCAGCGTCCCTAAATGTTGTTCAAAGCTCAACTGTACTTTTGAAATATCCCTTCCTCTCTTCTGGTCAGATTTTCCTCACCGCTGTATGATTTAGTCTCCACATTTAGACGGTGCTGATGAGTGTGTGTGTTCAGTTGGTCCCTAGTGTCTGACTCTTTTTGGCTTTATGGACTATAGCCCACCAGGCTCCTCTGTTTATGGGATTTACCAGGCAAGAACACTGGAGTGAGTTGCCATTTCCTTTTCCAGGGGATCTTCCCGACACAGGGATCAAACCCAGGTCTCCTGCATTGCCAGGCAGATTCTTTACCACTGTGCCACCTAGGAAGCCCTATAATAGTGATGCTAATACTTACTTGATGCAGTGGAGGTAAATAAGATAATCATTATTAAGCACTTAGCACAATGCCTGAAACATAGGAAATGGTTGATTAATGGTATTAATTGTCCTTGTCTTTAATAATGGCGCTGCCCCTGTTGACATCTTTGCAGGCTTTGCACACATCTGTAGACAGGTTTCACACTTATCTATAGACAGGCTCCTCCCAGGTTGGGTACCCCACCCCTAGCTCCAGGAAGCTGCAGCAGGGATGATGGGCCCTAGTGACGGGATCTTGGCCTTTATGGGTTCTGAGCTTTGTTTTCTCCTAAGCATAATGTCTAGACTCCCATCCATGGTGAACTCTGACTGCTGGGGGGCCTCACTTTCTGTCTTATAAGGGAGACCAATGCCTACCCAGCATCTGTATTCAGAGAGGTCATAATGGTCCACACAAACTGCTGTGATGGAGAAAAGGATGTGACATACCTACAGGCTCAGTGTGATGTGGGTACAGAAGGCAGCTGCAGGAAATGGGATCTTCTGGGGCTTTGGGACAGCCTAGCAACCAGCACTCCTCTTCCCTGACCAAGTGCAGGATCCATTGAGATATATAACTGGAAACCAGAGTATCACCTTTATTAAGAAAGCTGCTATTGGAGAATGCAGTTCACCTGGGCAGGCTACTTGATACTGAATTCCAGAGTTAGGCAAACCAACCTACTCAGTCAAAGCAGGCACTGGAAAAATAAGTCCCTATAGAGATCAAGGTTATTCAAGTTAAAAGAGATGATGCCTGTAAGGGTACAGATTGGTGCCTCAATTTATGTGAGCTACTATTGTTATCATCAAGAAATTTAATATACCAGATTAAAATGACAGAGCTTAGCAATGAACGCAACATACACGCATGCATGCATGCTACATCACTTCAGTCGTGTCCGACTCTTTGCAACCTATGGACTGAAGCCTGCCAGGCTCCTCTGTCCATGGGATTCTCCAGGCAAGAATACTGGAGGGGGTTGTCATGCCCTCCTCCAGGGGATCTCTCTAACGCGGGGATCAAACCCATGTCTCTTACGTCTCCTGCACTGGTAGGTAGATTCTTGGGCAGTACCACCAAGAAGCCCACGAGACATACAACCTGCCATTATTATCTAGGCTACAGAATAGTTTCTCCACCTGTGACGTGAAAGCTTTGAACCCTTTGAACTTGATTTCTGTTAACCCTGAAGGAAGTGAAAGAAGAGTGCAGATTATTACAGTGAAGAAGAGTTTAGACCTCTTCCTTACCTGCTGATGCACCCATTGCCCTTTTTCCTCTACAGGAAGAAGAAGTTTAAGAAAATGTATCCGAAGCCTTTGGAGAGGAGACTCCAAAGAACCCACTCACTGCTGAGGATCATTAAGGTGAGTTTCAGTCTATTTTGTAACAAGTCTTTGAGGTAGCATTTTTATTCGTTTTTTTTCTTTCCTTCCTCCCTCCCATCCCTTCCTCCCTTCCTTCCTTTTTTAGCTAAGGAGCTGTAAACAGGGCTGGATGGGCTGAGTGCCAGAAAGGTGTCAAGGTCAATCAACACTGACTCCCCTGAGGGGAAGTGTAAAACCTGCTAATAATTTGTTTGCAGAGGTAAGAGATGGGGAAGTATATGCCTGGAGTCTCCTGCAAGCGATGGCTTGCTCTCCTGCGCGTTGAGGGTTCCCAGCGCCAGCATACGTTGTGCACCCGCAGACTGTCCGCGGGCCGAGTTCATCGGTTCTCACTCTCAATTAGGACACCTCTGGAAAGAAACCACAAGCCTATGTCTCATCTCATGCATGGGGTGGCTGGGACTTGTTAGCTGTTGAGGATTTTCTCTGGCTCTGGAGACGACGTGGTGTGACGGGACAGAACCTGTCTGGAGGAGAGGTCACAGGCAGGAGGGTAGCAGGACCGGGAACAGGGGACGTTAGGATCCCTGACTGCTGCTCAGAAAGGCTTCCCACCCAGAGGCACTGTGCGCTGTCTCTTCCCTTCGTACCTCTTAGG